CTATTGAATGAGAAATGCATTTTAGTCTTTCCCAAAACTGAAAATGGAAACTCTCGTTCATAATTGTCTTTGGTGTTAATGTTACAGACTCAATGAAAAAAAAATGATTTCATAGCATATAAATTTATCCATAGTAATTTCTTTGTGTTCCATTGTTAGTGATGTAGTTTAGTATTCTACATAGCTCACTGACTGTATTATTTCTTCCACAGCAAAATACACCTTTGCTCTGCTTTTTTCATTATTACATTTTCTTATTGATAACACAAATATTGCATCTACAACAGTTCTTAACCTGTAGTCACCATGAATTTTGCTGTTCTCAGGCTGAAAGGAGGGCTTCAATGTGCTAAACCTTTTCTGTTTCGCATTCTACCTGTAATGGTTAGTCTAATACCTGTTAATATTACTTCTTTCACACAATGTTAGGCAAATTGATTCACTACTGAAAGCCCAAAACAGCTGGATTTAAGATTCCATTATTGCCTATCTTTCGTGTCAGGGTTCAATTTCAGACGTTGGTGACTTAGAACAATAGGGAACAGTTCACAGGTGCTAACTGTGTCTATTTCATAAACATGTAGGCCTTCCAAAGACTGCTCACAACCATCCAGGTATGTCATAAAATGAAGCGTGGGAATGCTGTCACCTTTAGCAGTCTTTGTGAGCAAAGGGGGAACAGAAAATGAGGCTATTGGCTCATCTCTTCAGTGAACAACTGAAAGATGCACTCATTTAGACATATTAATAAATCCTGACTGGAAATGCCTAATTTAAACTGCCATTTAATTTACCCTTTTCTGCTTTTCATCTAAAATGGAAATTACATTTTCTTCACAACAGCAGTAAATTACATGAAATATTTAGACAATGAATGATGCGAACTAGTTATGCAGATCATGGGATATACTGAAGTTGTTAAGAGTGCTTTCCAGTACTTTGCAAGTTTACAAACATCTAGTAAGTTCAATGTACCTTTCATAGTGACTCTGTTGTGAGCTACGAGGATATTAAGTTTCTTTATATAAAAGCATATTCTGGATTGAGTTGACTCAGTGAGAATTATGTAGAAAGCGTGGATTTCCAATAAACCTTTTGGAGATAGTTCTTTATCAAAGGCTTTTAAGAAAGCAGGTCTCTTTCAAAATGGAGAAAAAACCCTAGTGGTTAAAAAAAAGTGTAGAAAGTACTGCCTTACAGTGAACATGCAGGAGATTGCTGTTTAACACTACTGATGTGAAAGAATGGGTTAAACAGAAAGGGACAAAATTTGCTCGTTATATGGACGTGTTAAGTGCAGTCCAAGGGGTGCAGAAGAGTTTTGGTGGACTGAGTAATAAAGCGGCAGGTAAGGAACAACGTTAATGAAGGCAAAGTGATGCACATCATGGTCTTTAATGTAGCAGTAACCACTCAGAGAAATGTTGGTATCACCGTGAATACATCTAATCAGTACCTAAGAGCAATCAGAAAGACCAAATGTCCTGGTTTCAGCTGTGATAGAGTTAATTTTCTTTCTAGTAGTGTTGTGTTTCGGACTCAGTATGAGAATAATGTTGATAGCACACTGATGTTTTGGTTGTTGCTAAGTAGTGCTTACTCTAAGCAAAGGTCTTCTTAGTGCCAGTGAGGAGGTGCACAAAAAGCTGCAAGGGAGCATAGCCGGGACAGCTGATCTGAGCTGGCCAAAGGGATATTCCATACCATACAACATCATGCCCAGTATATAAATGGAGGGGGTTACTTGGAAGCGGGGCTCATCGTGGCTCAGGGACGGGCTGGGCATCGGTCATCAGGTGGTGAGCAATTGTATTGTGCACCTCTTGGGTTTTATCAATCTCTCTCCCTCTCCTTTTTATATCAATTATTATTATAAGTGGTACTACTAGTATTATTATTTTACTCAGTTTGGATTGTTAAACAGTTCCTATCACAGTCCCTAAATATTATTTTTTTCTCCCTGATTCTCCTCCCCATCCCTGTGTGAGTATGGGGAGTAAGCAAGCAACTGTGTGGAACTTAATTGCCATCTGGGGTTAAGCCATGACAAGCGCCGATCGGTAAAATTAAAGAATGGGTTAAACAGTCTCTAAGTGGCAGTAGCTGCTCAGGGAGATGTATCACTGTGAATGCATCTAATTGATACTTTAGATGAAGGCTACAGCAAAGAATCTTTATGGCTGCTCAGAGGAAGGTCTATCAGGTACTATTATAATGATTTCAGCTCAACTTTAGGCCCATCAAATCCCTGCATTATAGGCTTAGAGAAAGAGAATGTGTGTAGGCGTAAGATTTAACTCATGTTTCTGAGGTTTTTATGCTCCTGCTATGGCAACTGTCAGAGATATGGGATATTGGGTCAGACAGGTCTTGGATCCAACTGAATCAGTACAGCAGTTCACATATTAATTTTATATTTCCAGGAAAACAAATTTTCCTGATGGAGAAGTTACTAGATGGTTTTTGATGTCATAGTGAGACTAGTGATAGACTAAGTTTAGGATGTGAGATCTAAGTTATGGTCTGTAATGACAGAGGTCTGGAATTATTGACACATCATTTCTTTCCAACAAAGTGTGGACAACAGTTATTGTCTTTGAAGACTTTAATATCTGCGTTAAGCTCTCTGAAATAACAACCCCCAATTCTTCTTATTTTCATTCCTGGACACCTTTGGGACCTATACTCCGGCTATTAATTTCCTGGGCTTATTGAGGGTCAGATGTGACTCTAGGGAATGTAAGATAATACCCTTTCCTGTTTGATTCCGGTGGCAATAATGAGTTGAATTAAAATTTTCAGTCTTTAGGAAGGAGAGGGATTCCACCAGAAAGCTGTTGGTACCTCCCAGTATTAGAGTATGTTTAGGTAGCACCACCTTAAGTACCCATTGCAGTGATTTAGCAAGATTCTGTATGTACTTCCTAGCCACAGTTTCTGGAATGCTAACATCTGTCCATTTATTTTTCTCTGCAGTTACTGCAGAAAGATTTTATTCCTGTACAAGGTATGATGCAGTTTTCTTCTTGATGTTTCTTTTGTAAAACTGTCTCAATGTGATTAGTAAAAAAAACTTTGCTCTTTCTAAAGCACAAGCTTTAAAACGAAATCTGATTAACAATTTTAAAGTAATTTAATCTTTTTAACTGATACAGTTCTTCTTAAGGAGAAGATTGGCTTAGGAGTTATCTGTTTACTCTTGCAGTAGTGTAAGATGTATTCCTGAGCCTAAATCTAGACACAGTAACAATCACTGTTTTCCTGAATTCAGTACAGAATCCTCAACATTAATGCAGAAATATGAAGATCTTGTTGCTTTTAGCTTTAATCTTTGGCTTCCAGAGGAGTACAAAGAGCATTAACTGCACATCAGGACATTAATTTCCACTTAGTGCACTGACAGTTACCATTTAGTGGACAGAAGTGTACCGCTGCCTCCTCCAGCCATCCCAGTACAGTATGTAAGGGTTTGTTCTTCCTGCCATTGGTTACTTAATATCTCAACATCCTGAACCTCTTCAAGCAAATACTTTTGGTAGCACCTGGAACAGATGCTGTGGTTATAAGACTGGTGATTTTTTCTCATCATGGAGCAGTACCTGGCAACCTCAGACTTGTTGCTAGAGTCGTAGTGTTTTAATACAATGAGATTAAATTTTTCCAGCCTTCGACATTAGAGAAACTTGCATGTTTTCTCATTTTATTATAAATAAATAATTTTATTTTCAAATACCTGCATATATTTCTTTAATATATGTTTTTAAATCTAGGGGATTGTGAAAGAGCATGGTTTGGATGATATCTATATTCTGTCCCTTTTATATGAGATGCAAACAACACTTCTTCAGATTGGTAGTTTGTCTGCTGAGGTCTTTGCAGCCAGTAGGTTAATACTGAAACTTCTGAAGAAGCGAGAGGGAAAATGTTTTACAAAAGTAACTATTTTTCAAAGATATTTCTAACTATTGAAGAGAAGTTTTCATGTATGTAAGAGTTAATATGCATACAGGTAACCCCAGGTATTAAACCATAGCTATGGTATTAAGGAACAGTTTATTCTGAAGTCAAAAATCCTGTGCTATCTCTTCACAGGAATCCTACTTTTCCAACAGGCAGGCGGAGAGATATATACAGTGCAATTCATGGGAAAGAAGCTTCTCCCATGCTGGGCCTTTCCCAGTAGCAAAACCATCCTTGAGTGAAAATTCTTTTATCCTCGAGTAAATCTTCTGCATATAGTTTTTTGGTTCCTACAACATATTAAGAAACATCAACTTTAGTATTTGATTTTTTTTTCTCATTTCGTGTCTAAATCCAGAGGGACCTAACCATGTAAAAGTTCTTCTTCCCTCAAATGTACATGGCAAAACCAAGATTATCATCTGGATTCAGATATAGTAGTGCTGCTCCAATCCCTTTCAGATCAGTTTAATAATGAAAAGATAACTAATTAGTCATTTGGAAAAAACCAACCCTCTGATCCTTGAACTGTATATTCTAGAAAATGATGCAGGTAGAACTACACCAGTGGTTTCTTTTCTTCCCTGTTTTTCATCGTAGAAAATAAATGTTCAAAGTTAATCTGTCTTTAACATTGTACACATTTTATGCAATTTTACAAATGATTGGCATAAGTTAAGTACTGACTGGTAAACTCTGAAAGTAAGATTTATATATGAAAGAAAAAAATACATAGGTTTTTTGAGAATTATCTATCACTTTGCATTGTGGAAGATACAATGATGACCATGATTCAAAAGAGTCAGAATCAAACAATAAAACTAACTGCCAAGGCAAATATTTCTTTTTAAAGAAATATGTAAATATGTTTAAAACCTTTTAGTTGCTCTGTGATCCCGTTTGGTTTACTTAAGTTTTAAGGACATGCTTAGGCACTGTATTTTCTACGCAAAAAAATGCTTTTTTCCATAAATTTTTTATTCTGTATTATTCCTTCGTTAAAGGACTAATGCTGTAACCAACAGTCTTTTGCAGGTGTCCCACTTTTCTTGACTGTGACAAAAGCTGCTGCTTTGGAGGTGTGTTTACAATGAGTACAAATGCAGAGCGAAGGTTCACTAATCTCAGGAAACGTCTAGATCAGCTGGGCTATCGGCAACCACTGGGAGTGGAGAGTTTGCCCTTGGTGGAAAAGCTTTTTAGGTATTCAAAAGGAAATTAATTAAAAAAATAGTAATCATGTAGTAGGTATTGTTGACTTTTGACATATAAGGAAGAATGCTTAGTCTGAAGATCACTTTCTGTCAGTGTTATTTCAGAGCTAACATTAAGTTCCTGTGTATGATGAAGTCAAATGTGTTTGCTTAAGTGATGAGAACATCTTAAGATTTAATTTAATCCAACTTCTATGGTCTAGGAAAATTCAACTTTTCTAACCTCATAAGAGAGCAAAAAATAGTCACTGTTGATATGTGCTTAAAGGACACACTCTTTAACTGGTTGTATAAAAAATAGTCTGTTATCTGATCTGTGACTTCAAACATTCACATCTCTGTTTACTAATATCTCATTTAGAGAACTTTAAATTTGCTATCTCTGCACTTTTTACAGGACAGATAACAGAAGAAAAACAAATTTTCAGATGACATTCTTAATATATCTGCCATTTCATGGCTTCAGTGTGATTATGAACATAGTAATTTCCACACTAATCCAGTTATATTTGGCTATACATGCAAATGTAGCTATTCTGGTTCTGTTGCTCTCTAGCATGTAATACAGATGGAAGAACCATAGGGACATGGGTGTGGAGTAGTCTGCCTTCAACATAAAGTCTTATTCTGGTGTCTAGAAGATAGTTTTACTTTCTCCATGCCTAGCTTTGTTACTATTTTTACAAAAATGTTTATAGTTTATGTACCACTAATCTCTCTTATGGTACTTCTAATCCCCATGTAAGTACCTGTGACCTTCTGTGGTAAGTGGTGCTAGAACTTGTGAAGTGCTTGGGGGAAAAAATCATCTTGCCAAATGTCACTTTATGTAGAAAAGAGAGTATATTGAATTATTGGATCTAAACTCCTGATATGCTTTCTAACTGTCTTTATTTTTTGTATTTGTCCTGCCTTTTCCAATTATTTTTTTTTTTAAACAAATGATTCCTGTCTTTCAGTTTCTCTTACATGAATATTCTGATTCTTTGTTCGAACCCATTTGTTCCCCCTCTTGGAGAAAGGGTTCTGTTTCTCAGGTCATAATAAATGTTTGCATCTGCAGTATAAAGGCTGATAACATTGCTAACACATCTGATGCTCCTTTATTCCAGTGACTTAGTTCATACAACTGAGAGCTTGCGCAGTGCAAAGTTATCTGCTGGAAAAACTGAAAAAGAATACAGCAATTATGATACTATTTTGGAACCTTATAAAACAGAAAATGCCAAACTTACCAGGGAAAATAATGAACTACATTTAGAAATATTAAAACTGAAAGAGCGGTCTGATCGTCATGTTAAAGGTAATATAAAAATTATGATACCTTTTTTAATTCTTCCATGCCAAAATAGAATTGTGGCCAAATCCTTGATCTTCAGATTCATTTATCTCTGCACTTATAACTGAGTGGGAGTGGTCATTGAGTTTGGTGCCTTTAATGAACTAAGGCTTATGCTCAAACATTTCTTTTGCAGTTAAAAAGCTTCTGAGGTCCTGCAAATCATTGTTTGAACCAAACATGAGAATGTTAGAAATTTTAACATATACTTTCATACATTGAATTGATACTTTTTAATTTAAAATTAAATACTCCTGTTAAATGTGTCTTTATTCCACAGTAAGGGTTTATTTGCAAAACATGTAAAAATATATATTTTTGTGTGTAAATATATGCACATATGTATGCGTATTTGACAATTTCATGCTATGGAAAAAGAATATAGGATTTTCTTTATGCTTGTTCTGGTGCAACTAGGAAAAGTAATAGTGAATAAGAGAGATAATACTGCTTTTCTTTCCCTTGAAGACTTGAAAGCCTCCTTAAGGAGGGCTGAACATGGAACTTCTGACTTGAAATTTCTGAATAACCAATATATACATAAAATTAAAATGTTGGAAAAAGAGAACAAAGCCAAGACTGAAAAAATTCAGCAGCTTCAGGAGAAGAATCTGCAAGCAGTGGTGCAAACACCTGGTGAGTGTAAATAATCACAGATATTTTAACATTTCTCTGGGCTTTTTTGGATCTGCAGAACATAATATTTTCTTCCCTAATAAGAGAAGTTATTGCAGTAAAATATCCGGTAGAACAACATTATCTGTTAAAATGTTTGACTCTGAATTCAGTCATTTCTCTGTATGAAGTTTCATTAGGTCATCACTTGTGTTAGGGACAAATTTGAATGCAAACTTAGATTCAGTAGAAGACTATGAAGTTAAAACATGACTGGAAAACACTATTAATTAACAGCTTTTTTTTTTGGTGCTGCACCTAATGTAGTCAGGGGCAGGTTGTTGACACTTGAATATTTTTGACAGGTAATTGGTGTTGTGAAAGTGACTAATTGAGATTTTTGTAGCAAAAATCTAAAAATACCAAGATGCAAAATACATCTACAAATATTCCAACCCTCTGAAAGCTTACAGTATTTAAAGGGTCTTTTGTTAGCTTAAAATGTTCTGGCTGTTACTTTCAACTTAATTTCTTTGTAGGGTTTCCTTTTTTTTAAAATTTTTTCAAGCTGAGTGAAATAGAATTATTTTGTGAAATTTTGAAATTGTCTTTTCTTTCTAAGTCATTGAATTATCTATGTAGTTTTGGCATCTGATAAAAGTTAATAGATTATCAGGTAAAATTAAAATTTCTCTTTATTTTTCCACACCTTTCTGCACTTCATGTCCTCTGTTTCAAAGATGACATGTTACACCTTTGTCTGTCTTCCTGCATACTTGCTCCTTGGTCACCAGTCCTCTGGGATTTTTCTTTACTACATCATCTGTATGTTCTTATTTAATAATTTGTTGAAGAGTAATTGTTTCATCTGGAAATGATACTATGTTTTACTTTTTTTAAAATATAATGTTACCATGCAATGAAAGAACAAAGTCTGCTTGATATGCTTATGATATTCACTGAAATGACAATAGAATAGAAAGAATAAAAACATTACCAAACAATGCAGAGGTCAGTTCAGTCATGAAATAGTTCTTAAATGTGGGAGGAAAAAACATCTTTTATGATGTTTTAGCTTTCTTCATAAGCTAAATCACTAACAGATTCAACAAATTTGAACTGTAAATTATTTAGGGTCTTGAACAGTGGGGAAAATTACTTATACTGAACTTTGTGTGTTTCCTAATTATAAAGGTAAAGTTTAAAACTGATATAAACCTGCAAGAATGGTGTTGTCTAAAATGTATAAATTTTATCAAATTATTACAGAAAGATTAAAATGGTGAAATGTGCGTGTTCAGAAGCAGTACAATAAATAGGAAGAATAAATTTGTATTAAAGAAGATGATTCTCATGCTTTAACTCCAAGTAATAAGCCTTTGGGTGTGGGCTTTCAGGAGGCAGAAAAAGAAGCATTCCCTTCAGGCGTCAGCGCATGCAGATAGACCAGCTTGTCCCCCCATCAGGCGTTAGTGCCTACCCAGTTCCTCAGCCAGAGGACCCTTATATTGCAGACCTTCTTCAAGTGGCTGATAATCGGTACTGTAAAGAACTTTTTTGTTTTGAAGTATAGGTGTACCTTTGATTCTCACTGTCTTGCTCTTTTTAATTGATGATAAATCAGTCTTCCCCAAGTTGAGTCTGTGTTGCTCAGGACATGAACTGGTAGATTATTTCCCTGTCTTTATCTTGACCCATGAGCTTTTTCACCTTTTCTCTCCTGTCCTGTTGAGGAATGGAAGTGAGAGAGTTGGGTGGGGGTCTGGCAACCAGACAGGGTCATGCTGCTACAATATCTCAAACAACAGACCTTGCATTCGTATTTTGTATGAACAAAACTATTTCTTTGTGAAATGTTTGAGTTCAGGAGCAAAGAGAAAATTCTTATATTGAATTGTGTACATACAATTCTTCCATGAATTCACATAAACAATATATTGCTACATTTCAGAATTCATGAACTTCAGTCAGAAGTAACAGAGCTACAAGAAAAACTGGAGATATCTGAATGTGGAATGAAAAATTATAGCAAACAAGTACGTTTATATCATCATTATTTTTGTTGTTGATATTAGTATCAGTACTATTATCTGGCTGTAGAAAGCATGGCAATGGCCTTCATGTTTTAAAAACCTTGTTGGGAAGGCACTGTAGGGCTTGTAAAATACAATTATTCTAACTTGCCCATGTTGAGCTGTTTCTCTCCTCCACTTTTGAAGACAGCAGCAATGATAAAATACTTGCTGATATATTTTGTGTATTAAAATTACATTAAATAAGCTAAACTTGACAATCACAGATAGAAGTTTTGTATGTTTTTTTTAGTGCATAAGTGTTAACTTCTCCAAAATAGTAATTTGACCTACAGATATCTTCGAATGGTTTTTTTCACTGCTTGGACTGAATATATTTTTAAAATTTTTAATAGTTAATTTATGAACAGCAGATTTAACAATATTTTAATTGGAGTGGATTGATAAGATGTGTACAATCTTAAAGTGATGGAACTGCAAAAAATGTACATATGTTATGTCTTTCAATATCTGGGGATTTGTGGACACCATGCCCTTTTTTTTCCTTCACATCTTGGTTTTCCCATTCTAGTATTTCTTTTTTTCAGTGACTGGAATAGTCACTAAGGTAGCTTATTTAAAAGATTTTTCCCTAAATTTAAGGGCTAGTCTCAGACATTTATATTGTAACATTCATTAACTTCACTTTAAATGGAAATTGTTTGGATTTCTTCAAGAAAAAAATCTAGTGGAATTCGTTTCAGCTTTTCCCTACTAATTCTGTTTGATTAATTTGTTTTTCTTTCAAAGCAATCACTTTTTTTCAGAAAAATCCAGAATTAAAATATATATGTCTATATATAAGGTAGAAATCACATTTTTAGGTGCATATCTTTTTACTGAATGTTACATATGTGTTTATTTAAACAAAGGGTCTATTAAGTGGTATATAAGATAGCATAGAATATTTTTTTCCTCCTCAAAGGTTGAGCTAAGAGACAAAGAAATTGAGCGCCTTTTGCTGGCTCTGGATGGTGGCCGTTCTCATGAGGTTCTCTCTCTGGAATCAAGAACTAAAAGTAATGAGAAGCTTATTGCCCACTTAAATTTGCAGGTAATGGATTTATTACACTTGTTTAGTCAAAACTAAAAATATTAGCAATTTAAACAAACCCACAAAACTTCTAACTCTTCAAATAAAATCACTATAGATGTTAAATCAATTAATTTAATTTGCCTTTCTTTTTAGGTGACAGTGTTTCTTGTCTAAGAAAATTTAATTTCTTGATTTAAAAGTCTGTCAGAAAGGTTTTGGTAAAGAATTCTATTAACTCACATGTGTACTTTGTATGTTAATCTGAAAGTATTCAGCAAATTTCTGTATGATACCCTGTTTTCACCGAATTTGGAAATATTTGTATTTATTTATTAATGTACATGCCATTTATGTTTTAGGAACTAACAATGGTATATGTGCTTATGATAAGGAGTAATCCTGTAGATATTCTCATCAGAGAGTGGGAAATCTTCCTCACTGAATTCAAATGGTTCTCGCCTTTATTCCAGCAAAGACTTGTAAGGAAATGATAAGCTTAGGCTAAAGATGTTTGTGCCTACTGTGCATATTATCATGCATTCAATATCGGTCTCAGAATGAGAATTGAGAAAATAGAAGGTGAGCTGGGGTACAAATCAAGTAAAGCCCATCTCTGGATTTATACCATCAATTCTCTGCTTTTTCCAGCTGAGTTAGATGTTTCGTATACTGATTGTGCATGATGTACAGTGGTGTGGGAGCCACGTTGGACAATTTATTATCTCACGTTCAGTGCTGCAAAAATACAAAATGAGCTGTGTCTTGGAAGCAGTACAGCTGTGTTCAGTGATCCTGAATTAGTAAGTCATGATGAACACAAATTGATTGTACAAAGAGTGAACCCAGAGCTGCATGAGGCTGGTTTTGGACCATCAAGACTATTCTCTCAGGCTCAGTCCCAATATAACACCTTTATTCTCTGACAAAAAATGTATGAATATCTTCATATAGCAGTATTCAAGACTGTGAGAGAACTCAGATTTTCTTCTGTGCCTACAACCTTTGAGGAAGGTTGTGTGGAGGTAGAAGTGGAGAATCTCTGTTATCTTGAATCTTTAAAGACACTCAAGGCTCCCATTTCCTGGGTAGTGTAACTTACAGTGTATATTTGTTATTTCTACTCTTCACTTTGCTCTCAGGGAATGATATACTGGGAAAAACAATGTCTGTAGAGCAGAATTTCTGAGGCTGTGTTTAAGGTGCTGAAATATGTTAGGGGCAAGATAGGTTTTAGAAATCTGGTCTATAAGGCTTCATTTTGATGAAGGAGTAACAGTGAGACTAAACCTATCAAATAATACCACAGATGTGGAGAGAAGAATGTGTTGTCGTATCTTGTAACATTTAGCAAACTGATTACACTGGGTCTACCATCCTGATGCCCAAGAATGGTTTCTATACAGATCTCTGCTCTTCAATATTTTGCTTTTAGAGTAAACCTCAGGTTCAGGAAATTAGATAAAGAAAGATGTAGTAATACATTCCTTCACCTTGCACCTTCGTAAAATAATTTCTTTTTCATGTTGATAAACATTAAGTTTTAAAAATAGAAAATACTGGCATTTTTAGCAGGATATCACTTTTTTCCCGTGGATATAGAGATACTATATTTCAGAAGATTGGGATGAACTTTTGCTACCTAGTTTAACAATGCATATTAATATTTTAATGAAAAATGTCTTTCAGGTTGAGTATCTTCAGCAAAGAAACAAAGAACTTGAAAATCGCATTCAAGACCTCTTGGACACGAAACAAAATGTGACTAGTGAGGTAGTGCATTTAAGCAATAAAAATGAAGAACTGTGTCAAGAACTGAATGAAATAGATCACTTGGCACAGCAGTTGGAAAGACACAAGGAAATTGTGCTCGAGACTGCAGATAAGGAAATAGGAGAAGCAAAGGTAACCACTAACGTGTCACAGAGTGAAGGATCTGCTCAACTTTATTTAGCTTTATGTCTTCTACTTGCAAGGAATGACCTATTGGCATGTGAAAGGAAGAGTAAAAGATATTTTTTCCCAGTTTACTTAATATTATACAGAATTTCTCACTAAAGGATGATTAACTACAACTCTTTTGTCTCTTTACTGTACTAGGTGAGATGAGTTTAGTTGAGTGGCAATCTGTCTTTCTTCTAATAGCTTAGTATGAAATAAAATCCTGAGATACTTAAAAGTATTGATAGGTAATACATATTTGCAACAGCAATGTGTATGTTTGGAGGGGTTTTTCTTTATGAGTCGTCATGCAGCGATTCATTTAATTGTTGTGCTCCAAAAGAGCAATGTGTGTTTATACCACAAATTTTTTGTGCTTTCAGTTCATAGGAACTTCACTACTTTATTTCAGAGAGCTAATTATACTTTATTTCTTACCAAAGTCATCTTCTTTCTTTTTTTTTTTGTAACAAAGGAATTGTTGTCATTTTGAATATGTAACTCTTAACATATAGGTTAATTTTGGTTGATAGAAAGAAATTGAAAGAAAACACAGTGAAATACAGGATCTTCAAGAAACAATAACAAAGCTTAAATCAGTAAGTAAAAATATTTTCAGTTCTTGTTTGTAGCATTTCTATCACAGTGTCATCCATGTGAGTCATTTATTGTAAAAAATATCAATTTAACAATCAACAAGAGAACATTTGTAGTAGCCCAAAACTATTTTGTAAAAAATTACTAATTAAGAAATGAAAAAGCTAAAGACGCTGCATCATTTTGTTGGAAAAATAAACTGAAAGAAATCTCAACCTGTGAATAATTATGGAAGCAACTCAGAAGCAAAACATAGTGGCCCAGATAAAAAAACATTGGAATTATCAACTCTTTGAAGACCAAACTCTTTCCATATAGCATATACCTAGTTTTGTATTAGCTGAGTACAGTGTTTTAGTGTATCTAGTGAACTTGCAAATACAAAAATACTTACTTTTCAGGGCATCACATTGTAGGAAAGATATGCCAAATAGCATTTGATTAGCTGCAGGGTTGGATTGACTGAGATGCTGTATTGTAATGTACTTTAATATCAACAGTGTTACCAAATGCCATTAAAAATTATTTATTACTTTAGTTATTACTTTTTTTTCGCATGTTTGTATCCCACTATCCTACTGGTTGGTTTCTTGAATTAAACAAGTGTTAATCTCCCTTGTTTTGTTGCTCATTGCAAACTGTGTCAAAAGTAATGTTTACTTTGATGTAATAAAAACCAGTATAAAAACGATGATCTGTAACAAATGTTAAAGCATAAAATATCCAAGTTAAACAGAAGTAAACAGTGTTATATATTAAAAGTTCAACAAATTGTTTAATTTTTTTTTTCAAATGTCTTTATTGGCACTTCTAATTTTTATAATAATACTTGTCACTTCAGGAGTTGTGCTCATGTCGTAGGGAGAACGAGAGACTGAATGAAGAACTCTTTGGAAAAACAGGTGATAAAGACAATCTTGAGGTGGTGTTAAATCAGCTTCAACAAGAGAAGCAAAGGCTGACAGAAAAAACAGAGAACTTAGAAATAAAAGGTAAATCATCAAATGTAAATTCTTGCAAATTATTATCCTGTAAATTTTGAAATAGAATACTTTCCTAGTTAAGATACAGTTAATAATACTGAAAGACTTTTGATATATGTAAATTAAAAGAAAGCTGTAGGTCTTCAGTCATAACCGAAGTGAAAACTTTTGTCATGGAGAGATATTTTCATTCTCTATGTGAGAACTGAAAGTTGAGCTTTTTACTGTGATCCCACATTATATTAATTCTATGGCAGTTTCATACATGTCATTTTCAAAATTGTTTTTATACTCTGTCATTGAGTGAGTGGATTCAGACTGTGTTTCTTGAGAGCTTTATCCAGTTGGATCTTGAAAACCTCCAGGTGTGGAGATTCTCCATCATCTCTAAGCAACTCATTCCAGTGTGTGTCTATTCTCAGAGTGAAATATTTTTCCCTGTATTGTTTGTAATTGCTTGTAGCAATTAATCTTCATTGTTTCTTGTTTACTTACTATGCACCTCTGTGAAGAAACTGGCTCTATGTTGTGTATAATTCCCTCTTGGTACTGTCAGTCTGCTCTTAGGTCTCTGGCTCATCTCCAAGCTGAACAAGCTCAGTTCCCTCAGCTGTTCCCTGCAGGGCAAGTGTTCTGCTCCCTGACCAGCTTGGAGGGCTTCCCTTGGACTTAAGTTTATCAACATCTGTCTTGTACTAGGAAGGACAAACCTGAACACGGTATTTTAAGTGCAGTCTAATGAGTGCTAATTAAAGGGGAATAGTCACATCCCTCAGTCTGTCTCTGTTGATACAGCCCAAGGTGCTGTGAGGCCTCTATTGGTCTTATGCTACTCACTCATGTTTAATCTGATATTAACCAGTAGATGTAGTACTCCTACATCTTTTTCGGCAGGATTGCTTCAACAGTTGCTGGGAGTTAGTCCATCCCAAATGCAAGTGTCTTTGAGGAAATTAATGACTGTCCTATACACTTGTTTTTTTGTTTTGTTTCTTTTGCAGAACGAGAACTTGTCCTAGAAATAGAAAGAATGAGAGTAGAATATGGTATAGCCCTAGGAGACAAATCTCCATCTCGTCTAGATGCATTTGTGAAGACTTTAGAAGATGACAGAGATTATTATAAGCGAGAATTAGAATATCTTCAGAAAATGATAAGACGAAGGCCTAGCCCAAGCCGCAGGACTCCAGAGAAGGTAAAGTTCCTGCTGTCTGGACAAGCTGAAAAAATAATGGAAATACTGTAGAAACATTTAAGAAACCATCAAATATATTTTCAAATTCAGTGATGGGAAATGACTGTAGTAATTTTCTAAATTACATTCTTAATGCAAAAAACCAACTGAGAGAAACTCCAATGAACTTGCATTTTATTTTCCTAGTCACATTTTACAGCAACATATTGATTAAGTATTAATCATTTTGTTTGAAATAAATAGAATTAGATAATAACCAGAAAGAGGTTAAAGTCTTACTTTTCACTGCTTTACTCTTTCTTCTTAACAGTTAGTTCTTATTGTTTAAATGATACCACCAATGCCAGGCTTTTCCTTGCAATGAAAATTTATTTTGTATGTATTTTTTATGTATTACTATTAGCATGAGTTCTTTTTGGTCTTAATTATCCATATATTTTAATTAGCTTATTTTAACATAAATTTATTGGTCACTTTGCAGGGCGAAGAGCTTAAATTGATCACCAGAGAAAGAGATGAGCTACGGTCCATGTTAGACAGATTTGAAAAACACATGATAGAAATTCAGTCCAATGTCAGATTATTGACTGCAGAAAGAAATAGATTAAATGTTCTTTATGAGCAGGTAAGAAGAGATTGTTTGTAATTTACAGTGAAATAACCAATTAGCTTTTGTTGTACTGTGGCTTGTTTAAAATGAAAAACCTTTATAATAGACCTTGAGTATAGACCTACTAGAATGCAATAAAAGCTAATAAAATATATACCTGTTTTTATTATTTGTTAATAAAATTATGTATTCCACTTAGTTTATTAACTTGAAAGCCATTATAATGACATAATAAGTTATTGTACTGGCATTCTGAAATCAGAAAGATAAAGAAAAAGTCAATAGAATGCATGAGAAAGTTGTGTAAAGATAAGAGAACAGAGCCAAGTTAGTCTATGTTTGGAACAGTAGAAGAATGATGGTTATGTAGTCAGCATAAATTGTCACTCCACTGAGTGATTTAGGGAATACATTTTAGTTATCTAGAGAAAAATAAGACTGTGATAGAACTTCTGTTGTAATAACAGCATTGAAAGTTTCTTTTGTTAGTGTGTACACTATATTGCAGTCCATGGATGCTAACAAACAATAATCTTTTTAAGTCTCAAAGTGAGTTGAACAGGATGAGAAGAGAAGCAAAGCATAGTTTAGTTTCTCAAAGTCACGTGGAAGAAGAAAGAGACATTGCACTGACTGACTTTAGAAGACTAATGGCAGAAAAAGAAAGCCTCAGAGAAAAATTAAAGGTGAGCTTTTATAGCTTCACTGCTTACAATGAGGTGGCATATAGGGAAGGCTTATACAATAGTGCTGTGTTTGTATTTGGCTGTCTGTCAGTTCCCCTTTTCAATAACTTTTGATTTCACACTTGCTTGAGAGAGCTCACTGAATTGTATCAAATTTCCCTTGTAAACATAGTTTCTTGTTGGGGAAAGGAGGAGAGGAACTCCTTAAAGTATTTGAGGGCAAGCATGACATCACCTTGTGTAAAAAATCTAGATATGAAGTGCCAGTCACAGAATATTTTTGTGGGTATACACTGCTTTGAAGATGCTTGTGTGTCACTGTTGTGGAAGAAATCATGCACTTGACTCACAAGAGAGAAACAACAATATATTTGATGCATATAGGGCAATATATTGTTAGCTTTGTAATCTGTCCTATATTTTGTAATTAATGATAATTTAATAATTTAAAACATCTTAGGGCATTAAGCTATACATACATGCACCCTGTAGCTCAATAAACTCTACAGCAAATCACAAATATTAATTTAGTTGGATCCAAATATAAATATACTATTTAAAAAAATCTAAACCAACAACCAAAACCAAACTCAGTGATGTTATATTAAACTGCAGTGGTGTATTTTCAGCTAATGTTCTGTAGTTTTACAGAGAGAGCTTTGCATTTGGTCATTCATCAAAGAATGTAAAGCAATGTTTTCTTAAACATGAAGCTTAAATTTCTATGATTAAATCTAAAAATGTCTACCTTGTTACACGTAATTCTGTATTTCTATCTCAGATTCAGCAAGAAACAGCAAACCTTGAAAAATCAAAGATGCAGCATGATATTTCAGAACTGGAGAATAACATTCAAGGAGTAAGTGTCTTTTTAGGAAGTAAGCTTTTATTATTTCTAAAATAGGATAGACTGTTCCAGCAATTAATTTTATTAACTGTTTTCAACTTAAATTTATTTAAAAACCAAGATGTGATAGCTTTCTTCAAAAATAACGTTTGGTTATTTATTTTAAATTGCAGCTTGAGATGGAAAAGTGTGAACTAAAGTCTACAGTCTCCATTCTGAAAGAAAGAACAAACTATTTGGAAAATGAATTAAAATTGAAGTCCAGTAAACTTGCCCAGACTTCTGATGATTCTTCTCAATTTAAAGCTGAGATTTGCTCACTTCAGTAAGTCTGATACAAAATGTGGTGATCTTTCAGAGATGCTAAAGTAATTTTGTTTATTCTATGACTCTATAACAGTTGAGTTCCTGGGAAAGACCATAAAATATTTTTAAAATCACTTATACTGTTTGTGTCTTATGGAAAAGTAGGTGTGAGTCAGGAAAGTGCTGTGGTGGCTTTTCACAGCAAGCTCCCCCTGGACTTATTTGATGACCAGATATACCTATAACTTTTATGGCAGGTTGTGAATGAAAATTTTCTCCTTCTTCTAGAATAGTTTCCTGTAATAATCATGTTCTCTGTTTATGAATGTAGCAGAACAGAACATTTCTAAAAGACTTTCCAAATGCTGTTTGTTGAAAGGAAGACAGATGCCTTTACAAACTGCAGCAGTAGAGCCAGATTGTGCCAGTTTTACAAAGTTGTCAGTAATAGTGAAAATTTTATGCCCAGCAGCAGGCATTGATATTCCACAACTGAGTGGTTCATGGACCATCATTCTGTAATGGCATTTTACATGAGCTGTTTTTCTTGTATTGCTCTCTTTCATATGCTAATGCTATCACATGCATACCACAGTTTTGAGAGCTGACATCTTGTGATCCATAGACACAGTCTGTGGGGATTTAACCAACTTGCTCAGAACTGGAGGGTCAAGTGTACCTATGTATTTTTAAGGTCTGTTTAAACGTGCAGGATCATTGCTGTGCTCTTTTAAAGTTGTTTTAGAAAAGAACTCCCATCAGCTGTCTAAATGTCATAGAACAAGGAAAAGGCTTAGAGAAAGTACAAACAGAGTACTGAAACTCTGGGCAGAAATTTGAAAATACAGGTAGAAGTGAGAGGCTTTGATGTAAGAGATCACTACAGGATAGATAATGCTGTAGATGACATCTTTTGAATGTTTTACAAGGGAAAACAGGGTCTGTGTCTTATTCTCCCTTCCCCACCTGAACAGTACTATGCTGCAATGTACAGTAGTGGGGGAATAACTGTGAAGAACCGAAGCTGAGAAGCAGGAAGTTCATTTAATGCTCCCGATTGCACAAAGAGGGCTCTTGGTAAAACAATTAGTATATTTGTTGGTAAAATTGTGACAACATTAATAAAAATGAAATATCTTGTAAGGTTCCTTATAATTTCAGTGGAAGCATTGATATTATGAAAAGAAGGATAGAAGGGCTACAGTCATTTCAGCATTTGGTTCTACTTTGTGCATGGTGGCAATTTGTTAGAACTGTGTTTTTCCTCCTCCACCTGCTTTTTTTTTTTTCCTCTCCAAAGTTTCACTCTGAACTCAGTGAGAGCAGTCTTTATCTGCAAATATGCTAATATTCTGGAGTGGTGGGGTTTTCTTAATAATGAAAAGCTTCTGTAGCTTTTGTAGGATTCCAGTTGGGAGGGATTTTTATTTCCTGACTTGTTTCATAAAGAATCCATTTAATTGCTTTCGAGTTTCGTTTTGCTTTTTTTTCCCTAAGTCTCTCTGATATTTCTTTCCAAGAAAATCAACTATGTAGGTAGATGTTTCATGTATCTTTCAGGCTTTGTATTTCTTAAAAGTAGGATCAAAACTATATTTGTCAATTTGGTTGCTTTTTAAAATGTTGTGTCACTGATAATCACTGCTATGAGCTACATATCAAAATCTTTATAAAGCAACAGTCGAAAGACACAAGTAAAGAGGCACATGATCAAGAGTAACAGAAATCAGAGGAAGTGAGTGTTTCGGGTTGTTGTGGTGGTCCCACTGAGGTTCCATTGCTCCATTTTGTAATGGTGTTGAGGTGGACTTGCAGCAGGGCTCTAGAGCAAACAGGTGGTGTTGGCTTCAGAAATCCTTAAGTCCTCCTCTCAAGGGAGAGGGCTGGTTATATGACACAACCCCATGCTGCAGGTTGGTATGATACAACCCTGTCAGGAGGTTATGCTGGAACTGTGCCAACACTTCAAGCAGCTTAAGAGCCATAAATTGAAGACCTTGAATAGGTCCCAAACTTCTTTCAACTGTACACTGATTTTCCAGGCTCTTAAATGACCAGCTCCAGAGGTCTGTTGAAGATTTACAGCACCGCTTGTCCCTCAGAAAGGATGATCTGCAGTCAGCTCAGGAAGAAATTGTAATGCTAAAGGAGAAAATAGGTAATCAGTAGTTATTTTTATACTTATTTTCTATTTTTAAAGTAGAAAACACTTATTCTTTTATTTATAGATAGGTTAAACCAGAGGAGCACTTCACAGGATGAAGCAGTCAATGTGCTTAGAAGTACTATTACTGTTTTGGATAAAGAAAAGGACAGTCTTCAAGAAACCGTGGATGAAAAAACAGAAAGAATTGCATGCTTAGATGACAACTTAGCTAACAAGGTATGTGCAGTAAAAGTACTACTTTGCAGTCCATTTGGGGATTTTTAAAGCAGTTAATTTTTAAGGAGACATTCTTCCTTCATGGCAAAGCCTGTGCAGAGCACTAGGCATCATATAGACGCTATGTTTGGACCTAGCCAATGCAAAGAGTCATTTGCCAACTCAATAGCACTTTCATTATGAATGTTACTGTATTCCCTAAACACACCAAGAATACAAAGAAGTATTTTTTTGCATTTTGCACGTGGAGGTATTTACTGAGGTATAAGGTTCTAGCCTGAGGTGACAAAATCTGTAGCTTCCATCTTTTTTGATGACAAGACAATCCTTTCTCAGTAAAGAAAAGAAGCTTGGAAATTTGAATGTGCAAAGATGCAATTACTTATTGACAAAGAGTTATAATAAAGGTTTGAATGAAAAGTTCTTTAAATTGAAGTATCTACTATGTTGCAATATAATGATATCTAGTAGAACTTTTGTTTTTATTTTTGTAGGAGAAAACAATTACTCATTTACGCCTCACTCTCTCTGAGCTGGAGTCCTCAACAGAGTAAGTAAAGACTAGGATACCTTCTTCAGAGATTTTATTTTACCTAGTGGTTTTAAAGTGAAAGTATATGGCTATTTTAGTTATTCCATTTAAGTCAAGTTAAGGAGTGTACTGTGTTGAGAAAGACGTACACAACTTTTGAAGAGACCTCCTCTGCAATTATATTGCAGGCTGCTAGGACACTATTAAGACAACCATTAACAGTTGTTGGTCTATATTTATTTACCTAAATTGGTAACATTTATTAATTATCAATCAAAAAGTAGCTTTTTAGTATTCCACTAGATATTATTAGATTGACCCAGGTAAAATTCACAGCTAAATTCTTAATTATTGGCAATCTAGTCCTAGCATAAGCTACTAGTACAGTCTTAATTAAAATATATTTATGTGGTTTTTAGCTGGGCTTCATCTAATCATTCATTCTTGCCTCTTTTTAAGCATGACTTTGAAAACTATAGCTTTTTAAGAGAAAATATTTAAACACCAATATTTAAACTTTTAAAGACCAATGTAACTGAATATTTGCTGCATTGATACATGAAATATTTGTGACAAAAAACTAATGAAAAATTTTACTTAAATTCACACATATTTTTATTTCTACTTTTTTGTTTAGTCTCTTCCTTACTCTTTTGATTGTTGTCTTTCAAGTGTAAGCTATCTTCTTCCTCCTATGGTTTATAAAATATGCAGTGGGTAACACACTGTAACCACTAGCAAACACAGATAAACATAAGTATCTTTAATTGCTGTTTGCATAATAAGTTTCATCTTACCAAATAAATCTTCAAAGTTGAAAATTATTTCCACTTTATTTCTGCATATTGACTTTTACATACTTGACTTACATTTATATTTCAACTCAGTTTATCAGCCTTCAGTAAGCAAGAATGCCTTTGCATATCCATGTCTGATAATTTTCAGCACTATGTGGTTTAGTACAAGAAGGAACAACTTAAATAATATTTTCACTTGATAGCCAGATGAAGGACATGCTGAGCAGCAGAGACTGTGAGATATCGAGCTTACAACGCCAGCTTGATACGTCCCAAGTGGAGCTTGCAGAAATGGGAAGAGTAAAGGACATGGCTCTGAAAGAAAACAGACGACTGCAAGATGACCTAGCTACAATGGCCAGAGAAAACCAGGTACAGTACATAATACTAGTGTGTTAAACCACTTATTGCTTGCTAATATACAGTGTTGCATCAAAACTGCTATATCCCCAGTCTTGATTGGTATGTTTAATTATTGGTATTTCTTAACACTGGGATATTGAAATTGTAAAAGCAATTACTTCAGATACATAAGTGTAGTCAATACAGTGGGGGAGAAATAGACAAGCTTTCAGTTTAGTTATCCTCCCCCAGATTAAAAAAGAAATCTAAATAAAGTTTTAAATAAAATAAATCTAGGACATAATTGTTTTTAATATAATGGAATTATGTTAATTGGTTTTATCACTTGGTAGTTGGTATTTAATTGATAAAAATGGTGTTGGAATTGATTATTGAGAGAGAGCAAGGAACCAAAAAAGCAGACATCAAAATGTTAGTCAGAAAGGGAGAGGAAGGAGATTGCTAGCACATCTGAATTCTTTCTGGTGCATAGTAATTCATTAATTTCATCCATTAGTTTCCATGAAACATTGGATTTATTGAATGAGGATTTTTACCATGTTTTGAGATTAGGATGTTTTGGAATGTAGATTTAATGTTTGTGTTCTGTGAGCCTTGGTAGCAGTGGCTGTAAAGAGTTATTGGCAAGTTTTGAATTTTTAGTCCTGGCAAGGTTAGTGGCCATTCATGTGTGTTTCTCTGCAGGGATTTTACTTTCACTTGTGAATTGGAAAAGGTTAATGTTGGAGGAGAAAGTATAAGAGGGCTTAACAGCTAGAAGAGACAGAGGGATTGAAGAATACTTATTTTTAGGGTATGATAGTCCTGAATAGTCTGAATTTGTTACCTGATTTCAGGAATGGATAAAGATTCACAATCAATGAGAACAGGAGGTGTTCCCTTTTCATTATGTCAAGACTGTGTGAGCTTTTTAGATGGTGAATTCAAAGGTGCCATCTATTTCCCTGGAAAAATGTTCTTGTTGGATTATCTTTACATAGGTAAAGTAGATGTCGTGTGTATATATACACACTATAGATAGAAATATATATACACACAGGTTCAACTGTATATTGCAGCTTTTTTTGTGTGTGTATTTTGGGTTTTTTGGAGATTCTGTTCAGGTGCTTTATTTGACTGCTTGCAGAGTTTTATATTTTTATTTGTTTAGTTTTATTTGATTTTATCTTTCATTAGCTCTCTAGTAGTTTAGAATCATAATGTACAATGCTAACAGCTGACCAATCAGTAGCTTGAGGCCAGAAAGCAGCTGGGAATTGAGTTATGATTGCCCAGTGGCCACTGAGGTGGTTCATGTGTCTTCACAGTCAGATTTCTAGTTGGGGATTACACAAGTCCCTCTCAGCTGCTCATGGCTAAATCCATTTCCTTGCAAAGTGCACACTATAAAGGCATGACTTAAACTTATGTCAGTTGTAGAATCAGACTTGAAATAAAATCTTGAAAGTCTTGAGGAATAACCCATTTCTGTAGGTTATCATTGACTATTTTATTGAAAGATGAGCTATCTGAAGTTGATGTAAATTAAATAAAAATTTTGCACGACTGAAATAGTTGAAAGATTCAGTGGATTAGACTGTTCAATTGCCATCATTGTTATTATTCTTGTGATATCTTCATCTGTAGATGTTCTCCAGGGATTCACAATTAAACCAACCACTGGTGTGTAAGGCTCATTCTTTCAAAAGCATAAGGGGCTTATATAGTATATCTCCTTTGCACTCTTTGCAATCATCATTGCTCCATCTCTTCTTCCTTGGAATTCTCTGGATCTGGGATCCATGGCTTGGGCAACCTGATATGCATTCAGTCTTGTTAATCCCTCACTCAGTTGGAGGAATAACGAGTTGGTTTGGTGCACCAACTAGTTACTGCTGACCAAAAGCCTCCCAGTTCCAAGTACATGATATGGATATCCCTGTAGGATAGAATGTGCATATGGACAATATATAACAAAAATGTCAAGTGGTTTATAGGGTAAGTAACATTTTTTAGTGAGCTAAGCATTACAAAGACTGTGTAGAGAATATGTGAGTGTGATCTAGAGAGCTAGCACAAAATGCTGTTGCAACTCATTACATTCAATTTGTATAGCAGATTGTGATAGATACAAGCTGGTCTCCAGGAAGGCCTAGGGTGAAAACTATCACACAAATACAACTATTGCAGCTCCTCATGAGACTCTTTACAATAGCTTTACAATTTTGATGCTGAGATTAAAATGTTTGTTTCAATTTGCTGTAAATGCCAACACTAAAAATAATCAGGACCTTGTTAGCTAAAACATTTATTTCAGTTCTCCTCAGTTGGCCCAGCTGAGTCTGATGCTAGAGAGTACAATATAACAACATTTTTAAAGTAAGTGATGTAGTACCCTGAATAGTTCTTGCAAAACCTATAGTGCAATATGTAAGTGTGTGGATGTATTATTGAAATTAGATCTGCCATTCCCAGGCATCTAATAAGATGAAATGTTAAATATTATCATAACGTGATGACTAAAGCTTTCCCAATGTGTTTGGGAAGGCTACCACAGAGATAAGCAGACTGATTCTATTGTATGCTAAATAAAGCACACAGAGAAAAAGGCTGCCACTAATGAACATTAATAGACCACAAAGAGAAGAAGGGGAAGAAATAAGGCAGTATCCTTTATTTCCCCCACATTTGATCATGGGGATAGCAAAACATACTTCCTTTTTGGCTCTCTGGACTAGAGGACTCAGAGGAAGGTGAGAGTTGAACCTGAGAGGGCCAGAGTCAGTAGTTCAAATATCTAAAACAAGTTCCACAATGCATTTTTGATGTCTAAATATGATCTTAGTAATGCACTTAGGTTTTTTATCTTGCAATTCCACTTTAAAGTAAATGTTCTTTTGTTATAAAATTGATTTTCTAGTGACCTAAAACTTGCCTTCACTCAGGGACAGTGAATCTTATGGCTATAAAAATTCCAGCTTCCAAACATCAGTATGTTGAATTTTCCAAAGATCAGTATGGTGTGTCATCAGGGAAGCTGCATATTTTATGAGCTGGTGTGATAGTCATTGTTTTCTCTGATTATTCTTGCCTGGAAACCCTTTGGTGTATCTAAGGTGATAGGGGATATTTCTGAACTACACAAATCCCAAAGGCTTTTGTAGGTAGAATAGAAAAAAAATCTAGGGCATAGGCAATTACTTTGATTTAATCTGATAGAGTATTATATAGTGATTAATTTACCATACTGCACAATTTTACCTTTATGTTACCTCTTTAGGCTATCAGTACTGAGCTTGAAGATGCAATACGTGAAAAAGAAGAAATGAAAACCAGGGTTCATAATTATATAACTGAAGTTTCCAGATTTGAGACCTTGATGGCTTCGAAGGTAAAAACATAACCTGTAGGCAGTCATTACTGTTTTCAGTAAGAATTGTGTGGCTTGGGTCCCGTCATCCCTGCCTGTCCCATTTCCTTCTTTTATTTTTCCTTCTTTTCTCTGCAGTGTTTCAAGTTACTAGTGGGGATAGTAAAATATAAAACCTTGGTAGATCTGAAGCACTGATTATTCTAGCACATGACAATTTCATTGATCATGTTCCAGTTGGCCACAGTGCTGGAGACTAACAAACATATATTTGAATGTTGTTTTGTTTTTTGAGTTTTGACAAGGCAACTAGTAAAATATCTGGTACTGTTTCATGATTGTAGGCAACAATCAGCTTATATAATGGTTTTAAATGTTTTACCCTTTTTGAAAAGAAAAGTTTTTATTTAGTTCTGTGTGAAAGTATAAAAATAGTACTGCCAAGACTATGCTCTTGGTAAGTGTATTTTATCCTGATGCTTGGATTCAGAAGTGTGATGTATATGAATTAAAACTTATAAACATTTAAAACAAATAGAAGTGGTGTGAAGATGACATGAACTGGCAAATTTATTATGTGACTTTGAAATGGGAGGAATGAGTTTTGATCTAATTTCAACTTTATGAATGCATGTAAATTCAACCACTCTTTACATGTAGAAACTTGAAGCTTAGGAAAAAAAAATTAAGGTCAGTAGTATGTTAGCTTAGAACTATCAATTTAAAACACTTAAAACTTAGTTTTTAAAAATCTTACAATATATCATATGTCCAAAGTACTTCAGCTACAGATTGGCCACAGCTTTGGCAAATGAGAATCCAGTTATCCAGGGTGTGTACCAGGAAGCTGTAGAATATACAGACAGCGACCAGTTACGAATAGTTTGATTGCAGAGTTTTGTCTAGTATTACATCTGGATAATGCCTATGGAGACAAGGATTTACTTTTCTGCACAGGGTTCACTTGCTTAATCATGAGTTTCTATTTCCTAATGCTCTGCCTGATCCTCTCTGTACCTTCCAAGTTCTGCAGAATATGAAGGAATTTCAAAAACAGTAGCCTTCCTCATGAGGTAAATCTGACTCATATTAGCAACATGCATATCCTGCTGCACATTATGTGAGCAGGGAAGAAGGGAATGTAGGTAAATAAGAAAAATTAATCACTGCTTTATAATATACACTTGCAGTTTGGCCAAATTAAAATTCACAAGCAACATTTGTTCTCACTGCACAAATGGTAAAGCTTGCAGTTTTGTACTTGTGTGATAGACTGCTCAAATAGATTATCAGTGTTTCAGGCATTGCTGTAATACAAATATGTGTAAGAGCACAGTAAGTAAAAGAGCTGAAAATGGAGTTCTGCTGGAATTTCTTGGAAAGGGCAGCACTCAGTATATCTCAGTTATGTGACCCTTGACAATGCAGAGAGATCTAAAATAGCCCCTCTCCTGGGAGCCTTGATACTCATTAACAACTTCTAAATGTAAGTACTTCCATTTTAATAAAACTGGATGCCATCACTGTATTTATTTGCTATCTGGATTTGCAAAAGGGATGATACCCTTTAGTAATTGCCAGATAGCAGGATGAAGAAAATGAAGAAAGATCTACTTTTTCTGAAAAAAAAACAAAACAAAACAAAAAACCAAACATACATTGCAGGGAGTAGGCATGAAATAAGATCAATCAACTTGAAGGTATGTTGATCACTGCAGAGTGATTTACTGTTTTTTTAGGAACAAGAGAACCAAGAATTGTTAGTGAAATTCCAAATGCTCCATACGCAAGCTGAAGACTGGGAAATGAAGGCTCATCAAGCTGAAGGAGAAAGCAGCTCAATACGACTTGAACTCCTTTCAGTAGACACAGACCGGAGACATCTTCGGGAGAGAGTAGAACTTCTGGAAAAAGAGATTCAAGGGGTAATAACTTGTGCAATGAAATTCTCTCAAGGAAAGTGAGATACATTCAGGTGTTTTTCAATAAAGTCAGTGTGGTATTTTTAACATTTTAATATAAAAGAATTTCTATATGTGAGTGTTTCAAATATGGACACTTGAGTTTTTGAGATAGTAACTGGTTTTGTTTAGATGTGCTTTCCTTCTCCCTGCTTTCCCAAAATTAGATTAATGGCATATGTTTTGATAGTTTTGGAATTCTTCTGTTGGGTTATTATTGCTATTATGATACTGTCTCTGTAAGAAACTTTTGTATATTGCTTCAAAATGTTTACACATAGCTTTATGAGTACTTTCTAAGCTTAGATCTTTTGTTTCTTTGAAGCTTTGAATGAGGTATTTGAAGCATTGGTGGCTGGAGTCAAGGTAAAAATCTGGTAGACATAGTCCAAATCCAGAATCAGGATTCCATAATACTGAAACCTAGACCAGTATCATAGAACATAATGAGGTTTATATTTTAGAAGCAATAACTTCATGGAGGTCAGTGAAGTTCTAGAGTATAATTGTTGTGTATTGGCTACATTTTGTCTCATGCCAAAAAGTGTTAGAGACTATATTGTAAGCTGAGTAAACAATAGGCTGTATTTTTGGGGTTTTAAGCTTTTTAATTCTCTGAAGCTGGAATACAACCTCATTCCACTCTTTTATAGTACTTGTATAATTCTTCAAGATGGTGATAAAAATTGCAGCAATGGTTTATTAGTTGTCCTCAGCTGTAATTTAGGGAAAGGGAAGGAGTGTAATATAAAGTTAGTTTTATAGGGAAAGTTAATTTTAAAGAGAAACTAAAGTATTAAGAGAGCCCAAGTTATTCAACAGAAAACTGTTAAATTTAACACTGAAGGTGTATCTGTATTTGTCTTTGTTTAGCATATCGTTGCACATCAAGTATATGAATCTCAGATCTCCTCCATTACAAAAAACATGTCCAAATTGGAAGAGGACCTTAAACATGAAAATCAGGATAAGGCTGCTGTGTTAGCAGACCTGACTTCTGTGAGGGAACTCTGCGTGAAACTTGAGTCTGGCAAAGATCTTTTATCTCGACAGTTGACATCCAAAAGCATGGATTATGAAAGGGTAAGCAGAAAATTTAATTTGGTATAATAAAATAACTTCCTTTGCTTTTAATGGTTTTTGGAGAAAAGAATCACTTCTGAGAGCAAGCCAAGTTAATTTACATCACTAGTTTCCCATTTTTATATAAATTATAAATTTTACAGTATATAGATCTGTATCTGTGAGTTTTGTACAAAAAGATGGAGTTTCATTCATTCATTATCACTGCAAAATGTTGCAGCTGTAGTTTTTGTGATACCAGAGACAAATTATATGGGGGTTTTTTATTATTTTTTAATTTACTCAAATTTTCAACTTACCAAATGCGAATAGTGCACTTCTTATTTAGATATTAAAGACCATTTCCTAATGGCTTTTTTCAGTTAAATTGAAATTTAAGTACAGCTGAAATTCATTAAATATTTTGAAATAATTTAAACAGTTCTGAATATTCATATTTTTGGAACCTTTTTCTTTACAGCTGATTTTGTCTTTATTTAGTGACTTGGTCAGGCTTTCTGGTACTGTAATATTCAAGACCTCAAGAACAGTAGAATTTGTTTATATTCATAAAACTGGTGAGGAAAACAAGTATTCCTACATTTTAAGCAAAAGCCAAGAAGCTAATTGTGAGCTGAGCTAGTCAAATAGAATGAATAGTAAATACTCTTTTTGAACTTGGGCAAAAGTCTACTGCTGTTAAAAGCCAATTAGTGTTCCTGGTACTTACCTAACATTTCTAGCACTATGTAATCCAGCTCACAGTAAAACATTTGATAGGTGTACAGCTTGAATAGTTTTAAACTAAGTATAGTTTAGAATAATTGTAGCTTTAACTTGTTTTGTGAGCTCAGTTTCCTGTTCTTTTTTATCAGACGATCATTTCAGTTTTTATAGCAACTCTTCACAAAATAGAATTGTCTGTGTTTGTAAACCAGTGTATTAATAATGTATAAAATTTGTGCCTTAGGTTCTAGGAGAATTAGAAGATATAAAATCAGAAGTAGAGTTGCTGAAAAAGCAGTTATCCAGTGAGAGACTTACAGTTCAGAATCTTGAAACGTTACTGGCTACTAGTAGAGACAAAGAATTTCAGAACCAATTAACATCCCAAGAGAAAGATACCGAAATTCAATTACTGAAAGACAAGCTAACACTTGCTGAGAGCAAACTGTAAGTTTTAACAAGTGTCTGTGTGTTATGTGGTTTACAAAAAAACTTTTTCTGTGTGACAATACTTATTCACAAAATCTGGATATTCGGTATGGCTTAGCAGATTTTTGCAGCAATGTCTTTTAGCCTTTCATGTCATCATTTACTTAGTTTCTTTACATATCTTTCATACTGCTTTCATTAATCAGCACTTTGGTGGACATCTGTTTAGTGCAAGCAGTAAACTTAAACAGGAGTTCCAAAGGAAACATTCTCCAAATAAAATTTTAACATATGTTTACAACTCACAAAAAAATTACAAAGTATATTAAATCCATGGTAAATATGAATTGCTTATCTACTGAAGATGCCTGTTATCCTTACTTTGATTAAAGTAAGAATCACGTAATAAATAGTGAAGTCATAGTGCTTAAAAAAAAGCAAAAGTACTTCTGCTGCGGTCGATATTAATTGTTAAGGAAAAAGTCCTTATCAAGTTATTGTTCCTTTGAACTTCAAACGGAACTGAATCTGACACCTACACTATATGTGGCGAGCAACTTCTTATGCTGTGCATCTGCCTGCAGAAGAAATAAGTTTTAAACACACTTGCAGAAGAAAGACTAATGTGTTTGGAGCAATGAAGTTAAGGGGGGGATATTTTGTATATGTGGAATTCATGTACAAGAGAAGCAGAGGGGTTAAAAATTTTTCTTCATGTTATGAAGCAGGGAATTTGAAGTGTCCATGACATGTGTCATCTTAGAATCATTTAGGTTGGGAAAGACTCTTAAGATCACCAAGTCAAACTGTTTAAGTAAAACTGCCAAGTATCATGACATGATAATTCTCCAAGGGATACACTAACCAGTGACTGTAGTGATAGCTCTGCATTAAAGAGCAAAAAGGAGGAGTAGCAGCTGAATGGAGATGGTAGTGAAGAGTAAAGTCCAAGTAGAATTTCAGACAAAGGAAAACAGTTACACCTACTTAGTAAACACTAAGGTAGGGAGAGAAAGAAAATGTATGGAAGGTAATAGGACAGATAATGCTCCTTATGAGATATAGAATATAGCAACCTTAAACAGGTAAAAACTGTCCGGTATTTTGGTGACACAGATGTGCAAGAAAAATGCTTTTGATTGATTTACATAGAGGCTACAGCTTAGGGCTGATGATGGTCCACCTCAAGTAGCAGCAGTCTCTATGGATCTGTAGATGACAATGGTATTAATCACCCTTGTGCAACTAATTGCTTCCTGTTTTAGTATTGCTGATTTTGGTTTACTTTGGGGGAAAAATATTAGTTGCATACAATGAACATAAGCTAATGCAGTGTCTCGATTATGAAGTTAAATGTGAAAGTTAATAAAAACACAAACCAACAGAAACCCCAAAAAACAGGAAAGAAGGAGGTTTTAACTTAAATTAAATTCAGCTACTTTGTGTGCAAACATTATAAAATTCTATTCAACTAACATAGTAATTTTTTCACTATTTTTCTTCTGCACACATTGTAGGGTTCATTTCTTGTTTGTTGTAAATGTCAGTACTTGCATTGTTAATAGTATGCGATACTGCAGGAAGAAGGAAAACGTCTTGGTGGAAGAGTGGCTATTCTGTTGAATTGTTTTCCTCTGTTTATCTCAAAGGTTCTGCATGTTGCTAGGCAAATGTTCACATGTGAGAACTAGTTGTATATACCTTGCTTTCTACTATTTGGTTTGTAGTAGTTGCACTCTAAAGAACAGGAAGTTTAAATGCTCATAGCTGTGACTGAAGTATGTGACAATTAGGTTGTGTCTAATACAAAAATTGTAAAATACAAAAATTCATTTGGCTTGGCCACAACCTCTGACTTCAGGATTCTCAGAATTAAATTTAACTTGTGAAATTCTCCAGTGCTGTAATTATGAGCTCTGTAGAGTGAGTAGTTGCATTACTTGGAGTGCTATTTGGGTGATAGTACAGTGAATGAGATCTTGAGGCTCTAGGGTGAATAAAGTATTAAATAAAGAATATGAAATAGCTACACTACTTACTGAGAGCTATCTGTAACTGGGAAAGAGACAGATTTCCTGTGAAAATTGTGTATAATCATGTAAACTTAAATGATGATTACTGTGCATAAGGGTTTCAAATTAAAATATTTCTAAATTTTGAGTTATTTACTTCATGCTCTTAATTTTAATTGTCATTGACATGGAATAACCTGAGAACTCACAAAGTGTTCGCTTTCTTTTCTTATTTTACAATAATGATACTGGGCCCTGAATTCTTACCTCCATCCTGAAAGCATATGCCTGTCTCTGAAGGACTTAGAATAAGATATCATCGAGATCTCTTGTCTTCTGCATCTGTTCTCAACACACTGGATCAAGATACCATTCTAGGAATTTTACTGATGAATAGGGAACATGGGAAAAAATATTCTACGGTTCTTTTTGGAACAAATCTCTTGAGTAGTTTGCATCTTCCTGGAGTCAAAGACCAGCGGGTGCCAGACAGGAAGTTTGTGACTGACCTAGGAGTGGAAATTGTTTTTCAGAATTCCAGTCCAGTGCTTTAGCAATAAACTAGTACAACTTTACTTCTCCAGAAGTGACTTTTGAGCACTCCGCCTCATACTGGCTTTGAAGACTGTATGGAATAACACAGCTGTCTCGGTTCTCATTTAGACAACTTATTTTACACTCAATGTTTTTTTTTCTTCCTTTATAAAGAATTAATAGTATTTTGCAACCAAGCATTGGGTTGGTCAAGCTGATGATTTACTGAGAAGTATGCTTAATTATGTTAGTTAAGATTTTCAAGGTTGCTTTTCATTTTGATTCTTGCAGTTGAAACAGTTGGGCCCAAATACCAAGGTTATAGTTGACAAGCCATGAGACTCTGGGTTGTGCTGGTCTGGTATTTGCATTAATATATTTTTTATGTAGATTTGATTCAGTAGTTTTCATTGCTAGCCATAGTTCCAGGCTACTTGATATAATTTTTACTGTTACGTTTGTATTTTATGTGGATACTTACTGCTTTTTTCTTCTTTTTTTTTTTTTTTAAATGTACACATAAAGATCATCTCACATGCAAAAGAGGGTAGTGAATCAATAAATTAATGTTTTAATTGTTTTGTCTGTTTTTATAAAACATGTCTGTGTTTACCTTTGTCTGAAAAAGAACACAATGTAGTTAGGATGTAGTGAGAGCTTCTCACTTCATTCTCACCTTACTTCTTCATGAAACATTGTGTTACATTCACTTGGTTCTTGCTTTCTTGCTTCTAATTTGTCTTTGATCTGGTCTGTGTGAAGCAACATGTTTAGTATCTGGTTTTGGTTTTTTGTGCTCTAAATTATCTAAGCTCCTAGCTGACGGTGTTCAAAGAAAACTTTGTTGCTTCTCGTGATTTTTTTTTTTTAGAAGCAGCCATAATAGAGAGGTTTCCATACTTAGAAGTAAAGCTGCACAGCTGCAGACTGACTGTGATGTTTTAAAAAGACAACTGACAACTGAGCGATTTGAACGGTAAGATGCTGCTTTTTCAGTGAATTGACTCTTCTCATTTCTTCTTTCTCACTTTTAGAACTTGCTTTTTTTCAATAGTGAGAAACTTTTATGGAAGACTTCCATTTGCTGTGCAAAATATAATATGCTCCTCTTGAAAACTGCTTAATTAAAAAAGAAAAATCTTATACAGTTTCTGAATTTTCTTGTAAATTTTATGTTAACCACTGCCTTTAAAAGTAAAACAATTCCTTCTCATGAAAACAAGAATAAAATTGAGTAACTTTACAAGAAAACAAAACTTACTGTAAAGTATTGCGAAAAATCACCAAGTAAAAATACAGAGAAAAGTTACGTTTTTCTTGCTTTTAACATCATTCAGTCCCTAAGTGCTGTGTAACTAAAATTGCTGTTTGTTGGCAGAGAACGTGCAATTCAGGAAATGCGCCGACATGGTCTCTCCACATCATCATTACGCGCTTCGCCTCCTCTCAGTTCAACATTCAGGTCTCCCTCACGTTCTCCTGAACGGAGCGTTGTAAGGACAACTGACCAGGCATCAGCTGAGAAGTAAGTGATTTGATTTTAGCAGATTGGTTCAGTTTAAGAGTGAAGTTTAAATTGTTTCTAAATAAAACCATTCTAATTATTTGAAATTGTTTCATACTTCAAGTGTTTCTAAGTTCTGCTTTTGCTCTCTCTCCTACTATAAAAAGTTGATTGAAAACAGTAGATGCAAAGTACTCTCCAAAGACCATATAATAAATGGATTCTCATTCCTGTTCTTGTTAATGGTCTTGCATAAGCTGACAGCTGCTTGTGTTGCCTGCTTATTATTGCCATTACTTATATGCAAATATATTTTGCCAGTTTATTATTGTTAACAGTTACCTCCAAACAATAAATGGTTCGCATTGAGAGAAAAGCTGTGAAATTCTCTCAAGTACAGCAATGAGGGACAAACACTCCACAAAAGAGAGTCCAACTAAAATGCATTTGAACATTATGCATTAGATGAAACTATTTCCAAAACAAGTGCATAAAAACAGTGAATGCATTGTTAGTGCTTGAATCTATGAATGTCTAAGATTGTGATTACTAGAGTTCATAAAAAGGAAATCAAAATCAGCCTCTCACCTGTTCATTTTCACTGACATTTTTGTTCTTTTAGAGATCGTTGTTTTAGATTTCGTCAGTTTTATGTTACAGGCCTGGTTACTGGCGTTATATCCTGCCTGTCCTATATTGCATAATAATTTGCAGTGAAGAGAGGAAGGACAGGGAGAGGTAAACAGTGATTGTTGTAGGAAATACGTGTGCTGTAACAGCTCATGAATCTGACAGATTTTGAAGTTTATTTTTGTTGGTAAATATGGCTTGTTCATAAGCTTACTTTTGTTAACAAAAACACAGGTTTCTTGAGAACTGAGGTCAACATGGCATAAACCCACATTGTCAGCAATTTTCTGTGAGTTTTTGGGCAAAGCAAAAAACGGAAACTAGCAAAAGTGATGTTGTCAGTGGGGATGAAACAGCAGTTATGACTCTTGGTTTACTGGTGAGCCATTAGGTGCACCCTGTAATGTTGCAAATCAACATTTTGACTGAGATGATGACAGATAATATATTTTTGAGAAAGAGTATCATCAGTAAAGAGTTGTCTGTAGTCTTCCTTGTGTTATAGTGAGTCCCGAGAGCAATAAAACGTCCAGTTGCTGTACTTGAAGAATACAATGTAGTGCACTATTTTTGTCCTAATATTTGCATTCTTAACTTTAACAATGACAGCTCTGTACCATATCTTATCAGAAAATATCCCATTTTCATTAAGTATATATATTTAAAGAAAGTGGTTTTTAACAACTGAATTCACATGCAGTTGTTATGTATGTTTTACCTTTTAAACCTATCAGTGGGCCATTATGGTAGGATGATCTCAGCAGTACTGTCACCATCTTTCATCCTGCTTATTTATTTCTTCTTGGGAGCTTACCACAGTACAGTGTATTTTGTAATTACTGTTCTGTTGTGTCTTTCTCTAATCTGATTTCATCTTCTCAAGAAATTTTCTCTTCCTCCTTTTCTCCCTTCTACTATGAGAAATGAGTCAATGAACTGAATGCAGAGTTTTAGATAATATGCTAATAGTTGATATTTAGGAATAACAGAAGAGAATATGAGGAGGCTGAAGCTAATTGTTACAATTTATCCCAATATTAATTAGTAAAATAAAGTAGTTAACTTTATTTTGACATTTTTTCTTTCTCCACCAGAAATGTGAGCTTCAAGGAATAACCAGTACTTAAGCAACTGAAGCATTACCTTGTTATAAAGACTTTTTTTTTTTTTAATTATGAAGACTATCTTGTATTCTACCTCTGTTTTCTTCAAATCACTGATTACCTTTGAAATCTCTGAGAAAGGGTGAAATAATCAACTTTGCAAAATTCTACTTTCCCAACTGGCGGGGGTGTTTTTTGCTGGCTGTTTGACAGGTTTTGTATCAAGCCTAACTAAGTTTTGTTACAACTTTGGAAACATAGTAATTATAAGAAGGAAATGAGTACTTGATTTGACAATCTCTTGTTTTTATTTTACTATTTTATTTGTTTGCTTATCTCATGTGATTGCAGAACTTCATTCATCTTAATATGAGCTAACAGAATAACATCCACAATTATCTTTCAAGTGCTGAGCCAGTGTATGTTTTATACCCGTGATGAATTCCTATATTTAAACTTCTTAACAAGTGTTTTCTGTTTACAGATCATACTTCATGGTATTTAAAAGTATTGATTATCTATTTTGTGAATGTATTTTGTTTACCTTTTCTTAATAAAAAGTATATATCAGCCTTTATTACTTTTTGTCAACTAATTTGTCTCCTTTTGTTTCATCTTTGTGTGAAATTGCATTTTAAATATCCCCATATTAAGTAAAAAGTGAAGAGAAAAATTACATTTTAAAGATTTATTGAAATACTTTAAATATTATAAAATTCTAAAGTATTTTATATTGAAACTTTTGAATCATATCTGGAGATATTTTTCAAATGGTAGTTTTAAAAGTTCAGAGCGACACCTGGAATCCTTTGCACAGTTAAGGTCAAGCTGTTGGAGAGGTGACACAGGACTTTATGTTGTGACATACATATTAGGTAAATGAAGTGAGAACTAATCTTTAAAATATCTGGTGTATTTAGCAGGGGAGCATTTCAAACTTGGGCTTTGAAGTAAGATGTGATTAGTGATCACAATCTTAGGATATATTCTTAACGTCCATCTATGCAAATAATTGTATATTGTATCCTTCTTCTATTTGAGAACATGCAGTTTTCTAATAATTACACACCATCAGCTTGACATGTTGTGTATTCATAGGACTTATAGAGAGGACTAGAAATGGGATGTGCATTGCTGCACATCCTTGTACTGGCCAACAGGTTGTGTTCTGCTTGCCTCATGTTCAATAAAAAACTGTGGTTACCAGTTAACATTACAAGCATCTCTGAAGTGTAAGCCACACATTAAATAACATGGAAAAAAATCCTTTTTTTGCTCTTAGATTTTGTCCATTTTGCACTAAGATTGTTACACTTAGAAATTATGAAGAATATTGTGTTAACTGGAAATATTGTGTCATATATATTAAATTTTATTACTTAAAGCCAACTTAGAACACCCGTTTCTGAAAATACTTGTATCACTTTAGGTTTCTGAGCCATGGAAGGAACTATATATTCATAGCGAGTGCATCTCATACATTTTATTTTCTAGGTCTTTCATTTGCCAGGTACAGGAACGGGGAAGTTGTCATCTCTAAATGTTACTTATGTACTAATACTGTTTGTAATTAAGTCAGTGGTTTCCACTGATGCTAATTGGCGTTAATTATTCAGGCTGAAGCAGTTCAGTAAGAAGGAGAAAACTCATGTTCTGCTCTTGATGTCTTCAGTGGTGACTTTTAAATATCTTATTTTGTATATAAACCCTCTTAAACTGGAATCTGAGTTTTTAAAAAAGCAAGTGTTCCATTGTATTGAAAACAGTATATTTCATCTTACCAAAAAAATGTATATTTTGACATTACAATTAAAACCATAACACTTCAATTAATAGTAATTCCTACATGGATATAAATTATGAAGAATTAGCAGCTCGTTGAGCACAGCTATTATAATAAAAATAGTATCATTTTAGTGACCAAAGCCTGCGCAGATTTCTAACGTTACTAATATTCAGAGTGTAGTATAGCTGTCATTTTTCCTTCTAATTACTATTATTTTATATACATGTAAGCAACTAGAAGAAAACAAAAATAAATTTTATACAACCTTGCTTTAACATCAAGTCTTTCATTTCATGAAGTAGAAAACAAGCACAAATTTGGAGAAGATTTAAATCTGTGAAGTACTGTATATGTCATGTATGAAACAAGCCTTATGTGAGTCAGGATGTTCATGTGACTCTCTGGACTCTGCTCCAAAAAGCTTTTGTGCAGTCCTCACCTTCTGAAAGATCAAAAGCACAAGGCAGCCTAATGAACTGTTGTAGTCCTCAGATGGGGTGAGTTGAGAGTGTGGCAGACATGAAATTAAGGGAAAACTCTGTATACTCAGGTTATCTGTCTTTTGTTATCTGCAGCTGGGGAGGGGGGAAAAATAACTTTAGAAAAATAATAAAGGTGAAGCAATAATCATTGGGGCTGTTTTTCTATGAAACAAAGTCTATTGTCAGAAGCAGGGGCAACTAGAGATAATAAAAGGATAGGTTTTTTCAGTGTATGAAAACCTAAATTGCTCAATTAAACAAAAGCTATTATTCCTAAATGACTGTATAGGACTGCAGACTTTTGGGGTTTTTGTTAAATCATTCATTGGGACAGA